TGAAACGAACCGAAACCGAATGATTGTAGATTTAGAATTTTAATTGGAAATTATAATTATGATAGATTTGGAATCCTGAGCTCTTTTTCTTAAATAACAATATTATTAAATATTGAATTGAATACGTCCCTGAATTAGAATTAAATAATCTTTTTATTTTTCTCTTAGAAAAATTAATTAATACAACAATATGTCAGTTTAATTCAACTTAATTTCGTATACATATTGTATTGATAGAAGACTTTCTCTTATAATCCTTCTCTTACAATAATTTCCTTATATTAATTATACTACACTTTAAGTATTAAAATCGTTCTTAAAATAGTTCTGTAATAGACTTATGGTTAATTGCAATCTTTTCAAAATTTTCAATTTTATTTAACTTGTTTTTCTCTTTTTATCATTTTAATAATTAATTAGAAAATCTAGAATAATTTTTATATAATATATTTTACTCTCACCGTATATAACAGTTATGTAGTTATATGACCTTTTAACATACTTTGTTTTATAATATAACAATTAATATAATAAAAAAAAATTACTTTAGAAAATCACCTGAGGTAAGTATTTCTCTTTTTCCACCATATATAAATAACTTGATGATTCGAAATTATCCTTATTTTTCAACAAAGCAAAAAAAAAAATAAATACTTTTCTTATTAAATTTTATTTCCTGGAAAATTAAACTCTCCTGTATGCATGTATGTATATATCATATAACAGTATATAATTGTATGCAATTTCTTTGTTTGTTTCGTGTTGAAAAATAAAAGGAAACCGGATATAAAATCAGTAAATGTATATGATAAATGTAAGGATTTTTTTTTTTTTATACTTTCTTTTACTGTTATACTATATATAATTTAAGATTTAACATAATACCGTTATATTTACAAAAATAATAATAATATTAAGTGGATGTGAGAAACAGGAATAGAGAAACTAAAGGTATTTTCCATAACATTAATTTAATTTAATGACAAAATACAAAAAAAAAAAAATTTCTTTCTTTTTTTTTCTCAGTATATACACAGTTTCCGTTCAGTCTCATTTCTTTCTCTCAAGTATAAATTATTTCAAAAAACTATTTTCATTCATTTTAACAGTCTTAACAGTTTTTACAGTATAAAAAAGATTTAAAATAAATGAAAGAAAAAAATTATTTCTTTCTGAAAATTTTATAGTATAGGACAGAAATATTGTTAACTTACTTAAATAAGTAAGTTGTTAAGTTGAAAAATTAAAAGTTTCAAGTAAATAAGGTTTAAAATCGTGATTATAATTTTGAATTTTCATAACTTCGGGAGTAAATGAGCTTCATATACCGAAATAATGTTGACAAAGTAATAATTGAATACTGAATGAAGCACATTTTGCATAAACAATGAGAATTTTCAAATTTGAGCAAAGAAGTTCCTCTCCGAGCAGCTCGGCATTGAGATTACCTTTCGTGTGTCGGACTACTGTAGCGTCTTTCAGGCGGAAGTGGTTGCAATAAGTGAAGTTATGCGCTGGCTGTTTGTCAATATAATATTCTTCAAAGGAATCAGTATGTTCACCGACAGCCAGGCAGCGATAAGGGCGTTAGAATAAGAAACACCTACTTTTAGAAACACCTGATTGAGATTTCGGGACATAACGAATGACTAAGGAAACTGTAGGGTAGACGAGCTTGCGAGGCATGGGACGACTCTTGGGGTTCCACCTGAACAGGAGGACCTTGCAATGCCTCCGAGTACGCACAGGCTGCTGCTACGTAACGTGGCAGTTGATTAAGCTAATCAAAGATGGACAAGCTAATCAAAGTTGCGAACGATCTCTGCAGGAGTTGCTGTAATGAGGAAGAGGAAGAAACGGTGGTCCATCTTCTTTGTTCATGCCTGGCTTTGACAGGAAGTTATTTAATATAAAATTAATGTTACGTTGTGCCAAGAAATCTACCGAATGCGAATTTTACTACAAGATTGAACATAATAAATAAAATAATTTTCAAATGAAGAGTCGGCAATGCCGATTTAAAAAATTATGTTCTCTTTTACTCGTAGTACTATATGTAAAATGTTTAAATATGCATATAATTTACAGTGTAGTTAATATTACAGTAGACACATACATATTACGTACTTCCGTTTCCTTATATGTATGTATTTATTTTAAAGAGAAACCTATTAAATTTAACACTTACAATATAGTAGCTTTATTTTATTTGCACTTAAATATTGAAATATAATTGTAATATGGTGATAAAATTTTTAAAATAATTAAAGTTGTACTTTCTTCTGGCAATTTAAAATTTTATTACAATGAAAAGTAACTATTTTTATAATATAGTATAGCACTCGTGCTCAAAAAAAATTTAAAATTTTCATCATTCGTTTGGGTGTCTGCCCAGATGCTGGAAACGAGTTTGCCGATAAGTTGTCGCAGAGGGGATCTGGGGCCGACTTCGTGTAGCCGCTCCCTTTCTGTAGCCTGTCTTCTTCCGCCGTCGGGACTAGGCTTGCCTGCTTACTGACTGCGGAATGCAAATTTTACTGACGGAACACGAAAGAGTCATTCGAAGTTTTTTCTTCTATCACGCTCAGGAAAGTTCACCGCTGAGTTGTTGGATAGGGAAAGGAACCAGATTCGTGCTACCGCAAGTTTTTTCATTGAATCTAGTAAAACATGACCTGCATTGGTTGGAGAAATCGGGATTCTCCAAGTGCTGATTTTGTGGGGACACAAAACCATCGCACACATCCTTTCCGACTGTCCAGTACTAGCGTTCCGACGTCACAATTGTTTTAGACAGGATTTCCTAAGCTTTTGTTAACTGTGTTACAACTCAAATGGGAATATCTTGAGCTTTATATTTGGAACAGGAATATTACAGGCGGACTATGCCAAAGCTACAAAAAATTCAGCTACTGCAGGTGCCACATTTCGCAGCAATATATCACATTTAGACACTTTGTGGAATAAATTACTCTTTATATAATAAAACTTTAACTTATTTTAGAGTACGAAGTTTTGGGAACAAAATGAGGAGATTCTTTTGCTTAGCACATTCAAATTGGGGAGACTAAATTTCTTTTTAGAATATCTTTGTTATTGTTGTAATACGTCTATCAAATTACTAAAACAATTCTCTCAAGACCTTATCTTAAATCAAACATAACCTGAATTAACAGCATTCTTGGCACTATATGGCACAACTGCATTCTATTTTAAGTTCCCTCAATTTATTATTATTACTTCAAAATAAATTAAAAAAAAAATTAAATGTAAATATAAATAAAGGGTAAATTGCAGTATTTGCGAAAACAAAGAGAATCAAAAAGAGAAAATATAAGAAAAAAAATGTAACAATTACCTTTCGAGAGAAAGCATAGCATACTTATAGCACTTATTTTTTATAAAATGGCAAACGCAAGTAAAGTAAAAAAGTAAAAACGAAGTCGTTACTTTCTGTTGCTCTTTTTCTTATTATTCTTTGTTTTTCTTTCGTCTGCATACACAGTACATGCATATAGTTAACAGTTAAATGCAATTTATATGAGAATTTTAATAGATAACTTGCGCTTGTATATGAGTTTTTACATTATACAATATACCATTTAAATTCTAGGCTAGGCGTTTTTTCGCATTTCCGTTTCAGAACTATTCATGATTATGATTTCATTTTAAAAGGATATTTTTCTCTTGCTTTCAATGATTTTTTTTTTTGTTGCAACCTAAATTTCACCCTCCCTCTTATTTATACAATATAACTTTCAAAAAGAGAATAAAAAGCATAGAGAGGGAGCAAATGAGTGAGGGGAAAAAACTATAATAAATTTGTAAAGTTTTGGATAAGATTAATGTTTTTGTTTTTAGTAGCGCGTTTACAGCCCAGCGAATTATAAAAGAGAAAAATAAAAATAACAAAATTGTTGAAGTATAAAAAAGAATTTATAAAGGAAAAATGGTAGAAAAATAAAAATAAAATAAAAATAAACAAATTAAAGTGCAAAGTAATGATAACGTTTTATATCCACCATAATAAGGAGGGCTGCTGCAAAAAAGCAAAAATGGTGAATAGTAAATATTTTCTTGAAAGAGTAATTTTAAATGAATAATGAGAAAAAATCCAGATGTCCAATTTATTATTTCAGAAAAAAAAGAAATGTAAAAGAAAATTAAAATTGAAAATGCTATATTAAATTTCAGATTAAAAAAAATCATATTTTTATGTTTCAACAACAAGGGTCCTCTGCATTATGAATCTGACGGTTACAAATATATTAATAAGAAATTCTAAAGAGAGGAGATAGTAATCTGTAAAGTAATTAATCAAAGTAGGTACCATGATGAATAAATTTGGTATGTTGAATCATGTAAGAGCGATAAACTAAACTGTTATACACTTTGCTTACCATACTTTGCCTTTAGTATTATAGCGTGGTTAGACAAAGTAACTTTTAGTAGGGCCTCCTTTATTCCGAGAGATAGTAGCTGAATCTGAGAACGGAATTCCTTAAGATCAAATTCTGGTTGCGAAATATTTTTTAATAAATGACTCAATCAATATATGAGATGAGTTAAATGAGACGACTATATTAATTGTTTTCGCTTTGAGAAAATTATTCTGATTTATTTACATGACTCAATAATATAATAAGGGGTAAATAGCAATAATAGAGGATGGTAATCGAATATTTTCAAAATATTTCGGAAATATTCAAACATTGCTGAAGATCTCTCTTTATAGCAATTTAAAATATATTTGAAAAATACTCAATTTCGAAATTAGAAATGAGTAGATTAAGTTTATCAAATTTTATACGTTTTAACTTTGGTTTTATATGTAAGAAGAGCCAGAATGATGTAAGTAACAAAATGCAAGAATATTTAGTTTAATTTAAAAATTTTCTTAATACAATCAAATCACATATTAAAAAGGGGAAAAATTTTTTTTTGTTTAATATTAAAAAAAATTACATAAAAATATGAAAAAAAATTTATAAATAACTTACCCAACAAAAACTCCATTATCAACATAATGTGTATAATAAAATATTGTAACAAGTGTTACAACAAGTAAACCAAGTACACAACGTTTAACATTTATCGATTTTAATAATGGAAATCTAAGGCAACATCTAGCTAAATATGTGGTACTGCTATTATTATTACCGAATGTATGATAAGAATAATGATATTTTTGTTTTTGAAAATTTCTATTATCATCATCATCACCACCACTACTGCTATTGCTGCTATTATTAGTGCTATTACTATTACTATTAATATTATTATTAATATTACTATTTATATTTGTATTATTACTATTATCACTATTTATATTAAAATTACTATTATATAAATTACTATTATTTATACTATTATATATTTTTCCATTTCCATAGCTGCCATTACTATTATTATTATTTATAATATTACTATTACTGTTATTATTTTCATTATTATCATTTAATTTTTTATTATTATTACTATTTCCACTATTATTATTGTTATTGTTACTAAAACCACTTGTTATAGTATTTGTTGATAATATTGAATTTGTATGTATTTTATTATTATTATAAATTTTACTATTACTATTGTTTTTATTGTATTGATTATTACTATTATAATCCATTGATATTAAATTTTTCGTACTTAAATTATCTATATCATTGTCATCATCATCATCATCATTATTGTAATAATTATCATAATCATTATTTATATTTCTATTTGATATCGTTGTTGTGTTATCATTGTTATTATCACTACTATTATCATTAAAATTATTATTATGTTTTTGATAACTGCTACTATTTGATATTAAAGATTTTTGTGTTATGGCAGTTGTTCCATTAAATTTTTTTGTTGATAATTTTAATGTTGATGAATGACATTCTATATGATGATCATTACTATTATTATGATTATTACTATTACTGTTATTATTATTTATATTATTTTTGTCATCTATTAATATTGATGTTATATCTTTGGTATTTTTAAAATTTTTTAATTTTGTTTCTCCTTGTGTTATTTTTTCTGATGTTATTGTTAAATCATGATTTTGTTCTAATAACGGAGTATTTTGTTGTGGGTCATCATATGATAATAATAATGATGATGGTGATGCTACTGTTGTTGATTGTGATGATGATGTTGATGATTTAGAATTTAATTTTATTTTTGAAATTTTTTCTTCTTCATTAAAATTTGATTGCTGTTGTTTTGATGACGTTCCAGATAACAATTGTTTATGTTGATGTTTATTTATATCTAGATTATTATCATTTACTAATTCATTATTATAATGTAAACTAGTTGTTGAAATTGTTGTTTTATTATTATTGTTATTATTATATGATGATAATCCTGGTAGATATGTTGTTGCTATTGGACTATTTTGTATATGATTTGTTACTGTTGTTGATGTTACAGTATTATTTGTTGTTGTTGTTAGATTTTGTGATGATGTCGCAGATAATATTGGTGATAATAAATTTGATGATGTAGAATTTAATAGATCATCTGTTGATGATGATGTTGATAATAGTGATGTTTTTGAATTAGATAAATTATAATTATTATTTATTGTTCCATTTGTTAAAATGGTATTTGATTGCTGGTGCTGTTGTTGATGTTGTTGTTGTTGGTGATGTTTTAATGATTTTGTTCTCCATATTGGTGATTTTTTTTCTGATATAATCATTATGACAAAATTTATTTAAAAAAATTTTTTTTTTTAAAATCAAATTAATGTTGCCCGTTTTCTCTCTTATATTTTTCTCTCTCGTACTCTCTGTTTCTCTTTCTCTCTTTGTATATAATTTGTTTATTGTTTTATATTCTCAAAATTTTTTTTTTGGATTTTAATTGGTGATGAAAAGGAGACGTGTTCTTCTTGTTATTTTTTAGTGTTTTTTTTTTATATTTATTTTTTTTTCGAAAATAATTTAAATTTAATGTATGAAAATCAAAAATAAAAACCAAAAAATTTTTATATCGGAAATTTTGTAGATAATCATTTATTACAATTCATTGTCAATAAAATTGTTGGTTAAAATAATATGGTTGGTTTTGGTAGTATATGGATGTAAAACTGAAATCCAGGAAAAAAAAAATAATAATTAAAACAAAAATTAAAAAAAATTTCACCAGGAGGCATTTATCAAAAGAACATTACATACAAAATAATTGAATATGTAAAATGAAAATTGGTGAATGCGGCTACATAAATATAAAAATTGCAGATGCATTGAAAAAAACGAAAAAAAATTGTTTAATTTAAATGAATCGAATGAAATCAATTATAAAATTTTTTTCTTGTTGTTTCTGGATGCTGTTGTTTTTGTTTTTCTCTCGTCCTTTATAATTATATTAATTATATTTATGTTTATGTCTCTGGCTTGCCTTGCCTGCTTTATGACTGGATTTATTTGTAACCCAATTAATTTGAAATAAAAAACAGAAGAGTTTAATTTTAATAGAGAGAGAGAGAGAGAGAGAGAAGCTTAATTTGCTTGTTGTTTTTATATTATTAAATAAGTAGGTATGTGTTATAGGTGTAAAGGTGCACAATATTTCGTATATTCAGTTGATATATATAAATTTTTTTATAAAAGGTTCATTAACGTATAACGAGTAAGTGTTTGGTTGGATATTAATTTTTGTTTTTGACTTAATTTTCCTGAAATGGAAAAAAAATTAAAATTTTTTTTTATTATTGACTTTTTATTTAATGCAACATTATTATGTTTTTTTTTTATATATGTATGAATTTATTTATTTGTGAGTATATGTAAAATCTTTTTATAATGCGGATACCAATTTTTCGTTGATTTTTTGGCCGATTTTTAATAAATATGTTTTATTATTATTACATTTGTACTCTAAATGTATTATTTACTATACTGCAATAATAATTGTATATAGGTGTTAAAATTCAGGTAAAAAATTTCCTTCCATATTATAGTGTGAGGTTAAATTGTTATTACTTTTAATGATTTTGCATTTAATGTGTTTGTGCACTGTTAAAACTAAGTATTACAAAAATGTTATGTATGGTATGAGAAAATTGTCTCGGCACTGTATATGAATTAAACGAATATAAAATGGCAATTATGACTTATTATTTGAATAATGTTATTATGTAAGTACCAATTAAATTCAGAATTTTCAGAGAGAGTGAATTTGCGAAATCTTATTTGGTTGCAAAACTTTTTCGTTTTCTTTAAATTTTGGATATAACTCAGATTTCGGCCGTAACCTTTGTATACAAGCTCTTAAAAATACATAATATAATTGAATTTTCGAGTTTGAATCCAAATGAAATACAAAATCTTTATATTTCGACAGTTTGGCACCGATTTCAGATTTCTGCGTAATATGATCGCAATACAGCAGTAATACGAAAAAAATTTTTATTTTAACAGCTTTTGAAAATTAAACAGCATGATGACAACTCCGAATTCGACAGTGATATTTATTTTACTTTTTGAATTGCAATGTAATTTCGACTATAATATAGTTAAACTAAAATTTTTAAAATTACAACACCGTGACTCTGACAAATAAACGACAAAGTATGCAATTCGTGTTACGATTAAAATTTCGGAATGAAACATGAGAATTTATGTAATATTTTAGGACACCAATTTCGGACTGGTCCGAATTTAATTTTTTAATTTGAAATTTATTCAACCAAATACTGTTTACAATTTTTTTAATATATTCAAAAAATAATTATTGATTTTTTACTTTTTTTTTATTGATTAAATAACAATCTGCCTTTATTTTGTCATTTTCAATTCAATGAAATGTAAAATTGAATTTGTAAACATTTAAGTACTTCATATTGTAGCCGTACATATATATACGTACATATATGTATGTAAAAATTATATACGTATGTATAGTATTCGTAAATTTTATTAAATCATTTTTGAAATTTAATCTGAATATCAATTATATTATATTTTCTTTTTTTATTCGAAATACTGGTCTATAATTTTATTATAGACCGCAAATTAATAACGGGTATACAAGGAAAATATGAATTTTGTACTCGTATTGAAAAATGGAGTTTTTTTTTGTACTGGTCAAGAATTACAATATGAAAATATGAAAATAAAGCTTCATACGATATAAATACTTTAGTGTATTAACGCAGTGTTGTTCAGCACTATTTCAATTGTGGCACGTTACTAAATTCTGTGTAGTTCGGTGTGATCTTATATGACGTTTTATTGTATATACACAGAAAAAAAATTTCTTTTCAATGCGAGCGAACATTTCTTGTACTACAACCCATTGTAGTCTTTTGGAATTTCTCTCATTCAAATGTGACTATAGGATTTTATGTAATCCTAAATTTAATTTTAATATCTGAATTTCATTTACGTTTGGAACCGGTCTCTTAATAATATCAAAAAAATTTCCCGGTATTCTCATTATAACATAAAAATTTTTCATTTTAAAAATGCCCCATACTTCACTCAATCCTTATTTTTTCCCATTTTTATTTTTTTTGTTATACAAAACCAATTTTTAACAATTAACCACTCACTTATGTTATTATATAAAAAAAAAAAAATCAAAAATCGATTTGTTTCACAATTATGTTTTTAATAATTTCTGTACATTTAACATTTAATTACATGTAAGAGCATCAATTAATTTTATATTTTATCGGTTAAAAAACAAAAATATTGGAAAAAAACAAACATACAATCAAAATTAGTCAAATTAATCATTGGGAACAAGTCAAAAAAATGACATAATTGTGCACAATATAACAAAAACAAAAAAACACAACAAAAAAAAAAATATTAATTTTACAATTATGCCCAACACATAATTGTCCGGCCATATTCCTATTTTGTTTTTGTATAACAAATTTATTAAAAAAAAAATTTTTGTTTTTTGCAAATGTTTGGTTTTGTTAACACAAGTTTTTTTGGGAGTAAAAATTTTTTATGAGTGTTATGTGTAAATGTGGTAAATGCATTGTGATTTGCAAATTTTGGTGCTTAAAAAAAATATATATATTTCGAGCTACACACTCACTCTTCCTTTATTTCGATTTCAAGCTTGTTTCTAGAGACTCCCTAAACTTAATTCGCTAAAATCTAATATTTTTGAATTTTATTCAATAAAATGCAATTCAAAAGGAAATTACATGGATTTATTAAAATTATATTGAAAATATAATGCAACAGCGGTAGCCTAAAGAGTAACGAGCAGTTATAAATCGTTAGCGCAATTCACTCTACATTGTTGTGACAGCAACAGTAATGTAATTTTAATATTAGTCTTATATTACGTCACTTGTTTAATTTTCAATAATTCTATTGATTTGCTTTTTGATTGCATTCTATTCATTTTTTGTTTACATTTTTAATTTTTTTTCAATGACATTTGCCATTTTTAATTGTAATATGGTATGTTGCATTGGAATAACAAAAAAAAAATTAAATTTCAAGTAAATATTGCGTTGCCATTGGTTGTGTGCATTGGCAAAGTCAAAACAATCGAAATATAAGCTACCAAATTTAAATTAATGCAATAAATCAGTTATTCTCAAAGTGGAATATAGATCTCCAAGGGTTCATGAAGACCTGCTGCTAGGTGTCTATGAAAAAATATGATGTATTTAATTAAATAATTTTTTTATTTAACTTTTTTATATCATAGCTACTGTTAGAAGCCACTCATATCATAGCTACTATTAAAACTTTCTTACATCATAGTTACTGTTAGTGTACCTTGCTACTATTAGAAATTTAAATCTAATATCAAAAATTGAAATAATATTTCGATATATTGATAGTGCAACTGTCGCTATCACAATATCGTAGTAATGTGAATGCAATTTCTTATTAAAAAAATGTTGATTCTATATTTTCGGATTAGCTCACATAAAATATTTAAGCAAATTTTGTAATTTAATATTTTATATTTTGAAAACCGAAAGTACAAAAACAATAATTGTAATTTTAGATTTTCAAATTTTTAATAATTACCTGAACAAAATCGGGGGTTATTCTTCTGCCAAAAAAAATTTCCAAAAAACTCTCTTTCAATTCAAAAACCAAAAACAAACCAAGGGGAAAAAGGAAAAAATTGTTCCCCAAAATTTTTTTTTTTGTTGAAAATTAATTCTCTTAAGAGTAAAAATTTCTCTCTGGTTTTAAATTTCTTCAATAATATATTTTAATTATTTGGTTTTCAAAAGTTATTAAATAAATTTTTTTTCCAATATTCTGTTTTTATTTATTCTTCAATTTTAATTTTTTTCTTGTTAAAAATTTTCTTCTATTCTTCTCTTATAAAGTTTTTCAATTATAAATTTCTTGATGGAATCAATTACTTGTTTTTTTTTTTGTGTATTTTAAATAAAAATTACCAAAATGAAATTCACAAATTTTTTTTTTCACAGGATATAATTATTGGTATTTTATTAATAATCAAAAAAATTTTGATATAATCGCCACTTGATATGCTTCCAAATTTTATAATAAACAACAATTTTTTTAAAACAATGAAAATCAATTGCCATTGTTTTATTTAAATTTCAATTTTAATATTGAAAATAAGTTTATTTTTAATATTATATAATTAAAAAATATTAAATTTCTTTTATAATACATTTAAAAAAAAAAAAAAAAAATTGGAGAATAATTTGGAGAAAATATTTTATTAAAAAGTTTTCTTTCTTCTTTATTTTTGCCCTATAAATTATTTGAAATATTTTAATTATTATTTTAAAATTTAAAAAAAATATTGAAATTTTCTTTTAATTCTTATTTTTTATATTCAGTCGTTGTGCTTTTTGCCTACACAAATTTCTTTCAGTGTATCTCTTAAGAACACATTAATTTACTTCTATTCTCTTTCTCTTTTAATAGTTTTTTAACAAAATTTAAATATTTTAAATTTAATTTTTAAATTTTATTTCTATATTAATATTATTGTTTCTTTATTTCTCTATTTTCAGTTCAAATAAATTTTCATTTGATTTAAAAAAAAATAAATGTATGTAGAATTGAAAGAGAAATTGTGTTTTTCTATCTTCTTTTATACACGTTCAATTTTCTCTTATAAAACAAATAATTATTGTGTATGATGATGAGAAAATTTTGTATATAAGTTCATAAGAAAAGAAGAGAAAAATGATATTTTTCAAGTTGAATAAATTTCAATAAAATATAAAAATTATAAGTTGATACAAAAATATTCAAATATTTTTTTTTTAAATATAATTTTCAATTGAATTTTTTATATTATAAGAAAAAAGGAAGGATATGGTAACTTCTTTTATACACATATTTCATATTATGTGTTATATAAGTGTTTGTGATGTATAATAAAAAATTTTTGATTTCAAAGAATTCAGAAACAAATTTTGTATTCACTATTGTTCGATTTTATTTGTTTGTAAAATGATTTTTACTATTTTATTATAATTTAAATATTTATTAATTTTTTAATTTATTGTTAACTATATTATCATTTAATTTTAATAATTATTTTTATTAAATAAAATATATTTTAATTATTTCATTAATATTCTCATAATTCTTTTAAAATGTTGACTCTCATATTTTTTCCTATAAACATTTAATTTGTATAGCAATTAGAGCAACAATTTTAATAATTTTTATTAAAATATTTTTTGAATTATAAAATTAATGATTAATTGTTTTTAAAAACTAAAAAAAAAAAAAATTATTAATTACTCGTATTTTTATTATTATTTAATATTTTTGATCACAATTTAATTAATTATAATATTTTTGTATATTATTTAATTTATAATGTTTATGTATATGGCATTATTAATGTGGCATCAAAAATGTTTACAGTGTTTCAGAGACAAGGCAATAAATATGAAATTATCATAATTATTTTGTTGCTGAGTAATAAAATTTATAGAGAGTAAAATATGAGTTGCAATTATCGTTGGGTTATTTTGTTATTATTGTATTGTTATGTTAATAATTTGTAGAAGAGTACAATGCAGCTTTTTTGAAGCAATTTAATATTGAGAATTTTTATTATTTACTGTCATGTTAATAGAGCAAACCAAATCACTTTCTCAATTTTCATCTATTATTTATTAGTTGCTGAGTAATTGTTAAAGATCTGTAAATAAAAAAAAAAATAATAAATATTATTAAATTAGTATTTTATATAGATTTGTAATTTTATTATAAAATATATAAAAAATTATTAATATAATAAATATTTAATTTTAAAATATTGTAATACTCGATTTTAATTTCTTGATAAAAAGAGAATTTATATTATATATATACATTTGATTTGCTTACAACAGCAGCGAAAGTAAACACTAAGTGAAACTTTAATTTAAGTGCGTTTACTCTCTAGTTTTCGTTAACGATTAAATGCATAACATTATACTAATAAATAGTCATACTAATTACTTTTCTCTATAAAGAATAGCTACTAAATATTGCAGTAAAGACGTGCAGCTTTCTGCTGTGAGATCATTCAGGAAATCCCAAACATTTCTATGCTCTGTTTTTGATGAAAAACAAAACTCGATTGATAATGCGGTTAACTTAATATAAGTGCGTTTAAATATGCTGTTTTTTAAATGCAAATTTCACTCCGTCAACCATCCGGGGAAAGCGTGAGATTGAACATTTTAAAAACAAAAATTTTATTTAACAAATTACGTTGAGTTTTTGAATTTATTTAAAAAATTTTTTAAATTTTTATATTTTATAACATATTTGGAAATTTTAATATAAAAGTCAAAATTTGTAATAAATGATTTAATTAAATTTTCGATCTGATTTCTGAATGAATGTACATTTGTCACTTTATTTAAATATACATAATATGCTGTTATATAATAAATTGTATAACAATTGATTGCAAATATTGGAAAATAATTATACAAATTAATTGAACAAATTTGTTATTCATTGTATAAGTGTATGGTATTATATACATACATATATAACTTTTTTTCCTGGTGGCAATTTTTAAATTAATGACTTTATACTTTATATGATATGAAGAAAAAAATTGCTTTTTTTTATAAAAAAAGCAATTTATTTGAATAATTATTAATAAAATTTTAAATGAACTCTACAATTAAACCTGAATTAAAAATTTAATTTTTGGAAATTTTTCTTTCAAATGAGAATATGAAATGAGAAAAATAAATTCAACAGTAATGGAATTCTTATTCAATTTAATAACAATATCATGACAGTAAAGAATAGTTAGATAATTACTTTAAATAACAATGAAATGGGCGTATATTTTAATAAATTTAGAAAAATTTACAAGTAATGCTTATGAAATATTTAGATATTTGAACCACTCTCAATGTTATTTGTATAGATTTGAAAATTCAGCTCTTCATTCAGCTATCGAAATTTTTAAAATTTCTTCTATAATAAATTTATATATTTAGGTTCAGTAGACTAGCGAAATTAGTCCAAAGAAAATGTAAGTACATATAATATAAAATTTTATATTAGCAAGGAAATCAATGTGAATGAAACATGAATGGTATACGCGAACAGATACATTCTAGACTAAATGCTGGTCTTAAGATGAGGTTTAATCTGAAGAGTATGGGATAAGAACGTAGTTTAGCATATCTATCAGGCGGATATTTATGCATTATATCTGTAAAAAGAGGAATATTTTAACAAGAAGTATGTCAATAAGGCCATGGTCATCTCTATAAGGTATAGTAATCAAGGAGCTAGACTCTTAAGAAATAATCTCAAATATCGATGAGAAAGGGTTGCCACATGTACGTATATAGTCAGTACTAGCGAACAAATAATCCGACCAGAGTCTAAGCAAATAAAGTAAATACTTTTATCATCATCAAATCCTTTAAATTTATTTAAAATTCTAAATAGAAATAAAGTTCAGTTATTCCTATTATAACCAAAATATAAAATATATATCTGTATAATACTTATATAAAATATATAATTGTATAACAGTATATCCAAATTAAAATTGTTAACATATAATTTCAGCTTAAATTCTAAAATTTCATTTTAAATAAATCCTTCTTAATATTATAATTATAATTTCTTCTTATTTAAATTTATAACTTTAAGTTTTCTAAAAAAAAAATGGGAGAAAAAAAATGTCTACTTATACAATTTTATTTCTTTTCTATAAAGGATAATTTGAAGAAAATTTATATACGTATGTATATAAGAAAAGTCAATAAAATATTATTTGCTTTTATGTCCGTTAAATCAAGTAGAAATTTGTTTTTTCTCATTCATTTTGCCCTCAATATAAAATTCACCCAATTTTTAACAATAGTAAATTTTTATTATTTTTATGATCCTATATAACACATATATACTTGTACGAGTATATGGATTCCAATACATGTTCCTATACATATAACCTATACATACAGTGTTAAGTTCAAAATCATTACAAAATTTTATTCTCCTTATATTTTCAATACCATATAAAAGTATTATAAAATATTATACAAGTATAAAAGGATATTTTAAAGGATATAATATAGAAAATAATCGAATTGAAAATCTAATAATCCCTTTAATACTAAACGATATGTAAAAAGATTTAATTTTTTTTTCTTTTTTTGGAGAAGCAATTGAAAAATATTTACATTTATAAAAAAAAAAAAGAAGAAAGTGTGAATGATGATGAAAATTTCAAATATAAAAAAAGGACGATATATTAAGTGAATAAATTTAGATTAAGTTTATAGATTTTATTTTTTTGGTTATCGGATCTGTTATATACTTTTTAAAGATTTGTAATAAATGAAGACCGTATAATATATGGGAAGTCACAAAAGTGCTTTCCATTTTTTTTTTTTTTTGGCTTAAAAAATATTTGGTGGTGCAATTTTTTTGAAGGGTGTATTTTATTCTACGAATTTATTGAATAGCTGTTATATAACAGTATTGATGGATTAATGTGCAGTATAACAATACGTTTTAAAACCCTTTGACCCTACGACTACTTCTGTACTTTTCTGATAATAGTTAACTAATGCCATACATGGTGTTGTGCCTAGTATTCGTAAAGCATGTGGGCATTATCAATCGTTTCATATCATTTTTACATTTAACAATCAAGAGAAAACACAGAGAGCATATTCAGATTTTTAAATACGCTTAGCAGAAAGCTATCCCTTTCACCAGATACTACACTCTCAACCTTTTCGTCCTTACGAGAACGAGAATCAAATATTTACCCACATTGTGGGTAATTACTCTTTTTGTGGGTAATTACTCTCAAAGTTATAT